GAGTGAAGATCCAAAACCCTAAAATTTTCTCTCTCTTCTTTTCCTCTCAAATTCATGGCTCTTACTCTCTTCCATGCTCAATTTCTTTAGCCATCACCTTCAGAACCACCACCACTGACCAATGGCCACCGTCATGCCAGTAGCAATTGTGAGCCACTAGTAGCACTATCGGTCTCCTTGTGTGTTCAATTTTCAACAAATAGATCATTTAATTTCATAGTTAATTAGAACTTAATATCACAATCTCCCAGCCCCATGCCATACATCAATGCTTGATTCTTTCCCCGAATTACAAATATCATATTTTAATTAAATACTAGCCACCACCAATATAATGTATTTATACTCTTTCTCTTGATTTAGGTCAAAATTGATACTACACTCATTCAATTTATTACGAGTGCACACAATTTGTTGGCGTTGTGCTAATCTTGAAGGGTAGTCGTTTGTTGAAGTTTGCACCAGTGCTTCGACGAAATGACTTTTTAGGTTAATTATCTCTCGCGTGATGAAAGATCATTGCCTTCTTCGATCATTTTCACCAAGTAAGATTGTTCTTTTTATTTGTGTTTGTTTGTGTATTCTTACATGTTTAATTTCAAACAATCAAAACCATTTAGTTCAATACTTAGAGCTTGACATTGAAATCATCCACGTACATTGATGCTTGATTCTTGCCTAAATTGCAACTAGCAAAAATCAATTAAATAATCACAACAAATATAATTTTTTTTTATTCTCTATCTCTTGATTTGGGCCAAAACTGTTACTTCAATCAGATCTTTGTGAGTGCACATGCCCAATTGCCAACGACGTCATGTTTATCTTAAAGGGTGGTCATTGCTATGAAAAAATCACTTTTTAGGACAATAATTTTGCCTGACATAGCAATTCATTGTCTTCTCCGATCCATTTTCCAGTAAGATCATTCATTTTATTTGTGTTTGTATGTTGTGCATCTCCTTGCATGGTTTAATTAATAGAACTTGACATTGAAATCCCCCGCATACATTAATGCTTGATTCTTGCCCCAAATTACTAATACCAGAATGCAAATTAATAATAAACACACCATTATTGTAATGTTCATTCTTTATCTCTTGATTTTAGGTCAACATTATTACTCAAATCAACTATTTGTGAGTCTTTACAATTTGTTAATGTTGTGCTGACAGTGACGGGTAGCTCAGGTGGTTAGAGCTTCCCTCTTGGTTCCAAGGGATCTTGGGATCGATTCTCATCATCCACCATTGTGACTCTCTAAACGTTATAAAAAAAGGTGTTGTGCTAATCAAGAAGGAAGTTTGTTGGTGGAATTCTACACAAATGCTCCAACGAAATCGTCTTTTAGGTTGTGTGATCTCCTACATCATAACAATTCATTATCTTCTCCCTTTTCAAGTAAGAACGTGCATTTTATTTGCGTTGGTGTGTGTCTATTTGCATGTTTTGATCAGTGGCGGTTCTAGTATGGGTTCAGCTAAACCCATATTAGATTTAGAAAAAATCTAATTAGTTAAATAAATTAAAAAAAAAACCTTAATATTGGTTGTATACATAACTATGCGCTATATTGTGTTGTTATTCCCAGCCTAGTGTAGTAACTTGGTAATTTTTAGCAATGGTCGTGGGTTTGAAACCCCAACACCCTTTATTTTGTTTTTTCCCCCCTTTAATCAGCTTTAGTAACTTAATGATGGATAAGATGATAATTCTAATACCCAAAATTATTTTCTTCCTTTGAACACTAAAATATGAAGACTCGATGAGCTCAATAGTAGATAAAATTGTTTTTTTTTAATAGTTAAACAACATGTGCACACCCAAATTATTACTTTTAACTTGTACTTTACATTATGTTACCTGATTTCATTATATGTGTTTGGACTCTGAACCCATAACGAAAAATTCCTGGAACCGCCACTGCTTTTGATGATTTTCAACAAATAGACCATTTAGGCAAAATTACACTAATTGACACCAACTATGGGGGTGAGTTACATTTATTGACACCAACTTGTACCACTTGTTGAACACATCAACTTGTTAAAAAACAGAATGAAGTTAGTATTAATGACATTGGAGTGGGCCTATTGTTGGAAAATTGATTTTAACAATATTTAAATCATTTTCATCATTTATAATTGTATTTGAAAATGGAAAATGCTATACATAGCCCTTAGGGCTACATATAAGCATTAATTTACACTTGAAAATCGTAAAAAATTAAGAAATCATCAAAATATAAACACTAATAACACTGATTTACGCGTGTTTTTGTCATGAACTCCTAATTTTATACAATTTCCAAGAGTATAATTAATGCTTATATATAGCCCTTAGGGCTACAAATAACATTACCCATTAAAAATTAAACAAATTATCTTAATGAGTTAACATTTAAAAAATTTATATTAAAATAAGAAAAAGAACCCAAATAATCTCTCTGATCTTCTCTTCTACTGTTTTTTCATCTTCACTACCCACTCTCCCATAATCTCTTTTTTAGAAAACACCTTAAAAACACACCCGTTATTCACTTAAAAAAAAAAAAAACCAAAATGCCAATCAATTTCATTGACATTCAAGTAATTTCATGCTTAGCAATTATGTGCTTCAAACATGAAAAAAATGTACTATTATTGATTTCTTCAAAATTACCCCTTTAAATTTGCATAAATGACTAACTTTTTTTTAAAAGACTAATAAACTTAAAAATATCATACATTGACAACAAATTTCTACAAAGTGATAATGAATATCTGGAAAGTAGCACATAGGGAGGGAAACATTAGACGAAAGTGATGAGACATGAGAGAGGTAAGAGGAGATAGGAGAATCGGGATTTTCTAATTTTAGTTTGGGTTATTATCTTTAAAATTTTTATTTATTAAATAAATTTCTTTTGTAAATTAACTTATAAATTTTAAAATTAAATTTTGAAATTAAATTTTTATTCTCTCTCTGATCATTATGTTAATTACATGCTTTTTTAAGCAGGTTGGTTTCATTTTAACAACTGATACAATAAGTTGGGGTCAATATATGCAAAACCCTTCAAAGTTGGTGTCAATGGCTGTATTTTTTTTTTTTAGTTTAATACTACTTCCGTTCTTAAAAGTTTGACTCATTTACTATTCATATGGTCAAAATAAAACTTCTTTGACCACATGGATTTACATAGTAGAAATGAATTAGCATGAGGGATCTTACATTATTAGATTCCCCTTATAATTTTTTCAAATATTAACTTTTTATAATTTTTACTTATACGTAGCTGAAAATATTCATGGACAAAGATATACACTGGAGACCGCGCAAATACATAGTGAGTCAAACTTTTAGGAACGGAGGGAGTAGCTAGAACTTGATATTAAAATCCTCAACCTTCATTAATGCTAGATTCTTACCCCAAATTACAAATATCAAAAATTAAAAATCAATTAAATTACCACCACTAGTACAATGGTTTTCATTCTTTCTCTTGATTCATGTCAAAACTGTAACTTTAACCGTTCTTTGAGAGTGCACTCAGTTTTCTAGTGATGTGCTAATCTGAAGGGTGTTCGTTGAATAAAATCTTCACTTGTATTCCAATGAAATCACCTTTTCACTTTTTAAGACAGTGTTGTCCCACGTCATAGCGGCAAATCATTTTTTTTCTCCAATTTCAAGTAATTAAGACCGTTCATTTTTATTTGCGCTTGTGTGTCTCCTTGCATGTTTAATTTTCCAATAAAAACATAGTGGTTAGAGCTTGTCATTGCAAATATATAAATTTGTGATGAAGTCTTAGGTAGTGTTTGGTTCATCAAATTGGAATGGATTGCTATGAAATATCATACTAGAGATGTATGGATTCTAAAACCCATAATAGTCCAAAGTTATTTGGTTTTATTGTTTGAAAGGATTCTATATTTCACTAATAGAATGGATTGTGAATCTTAGGGGGAGAGCTAGAACCCCTTGGGTATGAGATTTCAATTACTAAGAAACTTAACCAAACAAAAAACTAGATACAATGGATTTTGACTCAATTTCAATCCATTTTAAATGATCCAAACAAATGACCTCTTAGTGATAACATGAAGGAACTTTACCAAGCAAGACTTGGCTAACTCGGTAAGAGACTTACCTTGAATTTTAGAGGTTTGTGTATGCTTTGAATGTTATCAAGTTTTTTTTTTTAGAGAGCTACAAGGGCAAGGGTGAGAATCGAGCTCATGATAGATCTCCTAAAAACTGAGAAGGAAGCTTTAACCACTTGAGTTATCTCTCACTCTCTTGAATGTTATCAAGTGGTAGCACTAGTTAGGATCCCTTTACTTTTACAAACACTCTATTTCCAAGTAAGTGGATGACCTACAAAAATCGGATAAAAAAACCGAGGTACGAGGTTTGATAAAGTTGTCCGTCCTTACTTTTTAAAAACTCATGAACTATACTTAAGTTTGTTTTATTTTAGGCGAGTAAACTTTCATTACTTACTTTTTTGTGAAAGGTAATTCATAATAACAAAAATACCTTTGTTACAAATTAAGGGCATGCTCTTTCAGCTTAATTTCATTTCAGTTCAGTTCAGCTCCAAACAATTCAGTTCAGTTCACTTCAGCTCCTAATTTCCTTCTCTCATAAAAATTCATTTCAACTCAATTCAATTCAATTCAGCTCCAATCAATTCAGTTCAACTTAGTTCAATAAATCAGAACATACCCTAAGATTATCAATATGATATCCCATCAAAATTAACATTTTTAATGATATTCGTAATGAATATTAATAAAATAATAGATAATAATGCAAAATAAACGTGAAAAAAAAAACTATTTTATTGTTTGAGAAAGGACTTACTTCGTATTTATTTATATATTTTTTAAATCTTTTTTATTTTAACTTATTTGTCGAAGTATTATTTCGTCTAAACTTATTTTTTTTTTTTGAAAAATTGTCTAAACTTATTTTAAACCGTGTTTAAATTTTAATATGATAAATTAGTGAAAATTAGATGAAACAGAAAACATAGCTTACCTCAGTTTTCAATTGTTTTTCTCCTTGGGAACGTTTCACTATAACGTTGCACACTCTCTCTCCTCCATTGAAGCGCTTACTCTGAATTCTCCATTGAAGTGGCTACTGAACTTTCTTTCCTTCATCGAAACAGTTTTCTGAGGTTAAGATTATATCTTTTCTCTTTAGAATCATCAAACATCAGTTTTTCAATTTAGGGTTTATCATTAATTTAATTCAGTATTCAATTTAGGGTTCTTCTAAGGTGGATTATTGGATTTTTGGTTTTAATTACTGAATTTGTGAATGATTATGACGATTGATTGTGTTTGCTAGAATTTTGCTATGTGCAATTCAGATTAATTTTCTCTAGTGAGCAGAATTTTATGTGAATTTGGAGTCGAATTTGATAATTGAGTCTTGCTAATGTGTCCAGGCTGTTTTTCATAATAATCCTTGATTGTTTAATTGTAAAAATGGACCTTTTCTCCTTGTCTCAGGGCGGTCACCCCTGCCGCCGCCCGCCCGCCTAGGATGTGCCACTGCACAGAAATTGATTGTTTCTTTTAGCAATTGGCATGAATGAATGCATTGCTAGATGATGTATTGGGTTTTTGATTTTTTGCGATTGGTTTTAATACCCATGGTTTTGTTTTTTCAGAAACGGGTTGATTGAAGAGACTATGGCATCTTCTGAGCATGCATCTCAAGGGGTTCAGGTAAAAATTTGAGTTAAAGCTGTATTACAGAATGAAAAGAAAAAAAAAACCCAGTTAAGGTAGCTGAGTTTGTGGTTCAATTTTGTTATCTGTGGGGGAAGTTGGTTTAAATTAATGCTGGATTTTGGTGTTTTCAATTGATTAGTGAAGCTTGTATTTTTGTTTTGGATAACGTAAGGTTGGGGGATGGAGGAACATTATGTTGTGGACATTAGAGAAAAATGATTTGAAGGGTTTTACAATGGATAAACATTTGGAAGGGTTTTTAAATTTTGATAGTATAAGAATATGAGGTTTTTGAATTTTGATGGTTTTGAAGCATGAAGTATGGTATTTAGCTTCAACGCCTTCAAGGTTGTTTGACGATTAAAGCCTGATACTCGAGCAAGCAGGCTTTGGTTTTGATTTTCAGAGTATAACTAAAATTATTTTTAACTTCTTAGAGAATTGTCTTGTTTCTTTGTTTTTCTTTGATTGAGGCATTGCTTTGGGTGTTGTTAGGGATTGTATTTAGTTGTATACTGTATCCTGAGTATTAATGGGTTGGATGATACTGACATTATTCCTGTTTTTAAAATACTAATATAGTTGATGTGAATGGTACTGGCTACTTTTTTTTTAATAAATTATAAATTTATTGATAAAGTATTTTGTCCCCTTGATGAGGGATCTAAGAAGTAAAAGCTTTGTAATTTCAGATATTAGGAGCTAAGTAGTTTGGGCTTAGTTAGGTTAGATGGATATTCTATGAAATATCAAGGGACTAAGGGGGTTAACATTTTCTTAAACTGGATATGGCATCCCATATGATCCCTAGAGCACTCTAATCTTTTGCTTTCAATGTAGCACCAACCATATGACATGATGCATTACATTATGATCTTAATAAACATAGCATCGAAGTTCTGATTCTAAGAAAGCAAGGTCATTTCCAAAATAAAATATTACCCCTGTTTTTGAAATCTGACCCAGTTTTGTTGATAGGAAAGTTTGGAAAGAGTGAGTAGGTATTAGAAAAAAGGTTAATAATGTAAGAGAAATGGAGTAAAAAGGTGGGTGGATGTAAGAAAAAAGTGGATATAGATTATGAGAGAGTGAAGAATGTGTAAATATTGTGAGGTAAGGGGGATAAGGTGGTGATATGGGGTCGCCTAACATAAAAATAAAGGACAAGTAAGTTGAACCTTTTGAAACACATTCATGTTTGGATATCTGTCATATCACACATATTTAACAATGACATTGTTTATATTGTTATGCTGTATGCATTGTTGAAAGACAAAGATGACTTAATCCATGTACTACTTGTTGAGTTTGGGAGTTTTTTTTTTTTTTTTTTTTCCTTCATTTAGTGGAGTGATTTACGGGTCTATATCGTTCTGGATATATTTTGGAATGAATTATCTTGTGGCTTTTTGTGAGATTTGATTTATTGCAATTTGTAATTCTGCACCTGTGTTTCTTTTTTTTTTGAATGTTCCAATTGTTTCTGAGGACTTGATTGAACAGGATGTCATGCTGGAGTTTCGTGCTGGTAAAATGCTATTCGAGGGAAAACGTGTAACCCCAGATTCTCGTAAAGGGCTAGTTAGGATTGCCCGGGTATGCTTCACCTAACAACTTTTTGCTCCATTCTTCTTTTTATAGTATGTATTACAGCTTGACGTCTGTGGAAAATGTTTTGCATTGGAGCTTAATTTGGAATTTCTCTTCAAATGTTTAATTGCTTTTGCCACATGATGTTTTATTACTGAAATTTTCCTTAGGGTGAGGAGGGCTTGGTCCATTTTATGTGGCTTGATCGGGTGCAAAATGCGATTGAAGATGTATCCTTTAGCCGTGTTTTACATAAATTATGTTCTTAGCTGTGTTATGATAATGCCTGTGCTGGCACTACTGGTTGAGCAAATAAGGTATTTTATTGTCTTTGTTCTTAATTCTGACAACTATATATATCCTGTCCATCCCGTATTCCCGTTGTTAATCATTCTAGATTTGATATTTGTACTTCAATAGGAATTGATTGGAGAACATTACTTAACCATTTATTGGTGTATTGGGAAAAATGTTTGCTGTTTGAAAGGGTGAAACAGACTAGCAAAATGGAATGAAGATTGATACATCTGAATCTTTTTCATGAAATGATTGTGTTCTGGCTTGGATGATTTATGCAGTAAATAGCCTTTGCATGTTAGTGATCCGGATGAAGGGGCTATTTATACTCCCTCCGTCCCTTATTGATAGTTTTTTATGGGCAATTTTCACGGGAATTAATAAACATAATTAAGAATAGTAAAAGTACATTGAAAAGGTAAATTTACATTGGGTATGCAAAAGAGTAGAGAGAAAATAATAAAAGTACATGGGAAAACATAATTTACATGGGAAAGTTAAATTTGCACAAATATTGTTGCAAATTGGAGGGAATTTTGGTAAAAAATTAATATTAATGGTTGTTGATAAAAGCAAATGAGGTGAAAATTTTGGGAATCAAATTTGGCCAAAAAGGACTATCAATAAAGGACGGAGGGAGTAGTATATATGTTTCCTTTGCTCCATATATGCATTTTGTGTCTTTTCAAAGCCGCTGAAATATGAATCATGTAAAGATGGCATTGTTTAGGCCTCGCATGAAAAGCATGGCCCACACCCTAATGTAATTGTCTAACACAATGGCATGACAAAATCTGCCTTAGGCATGTAGGACTGAGCATATCCTGGTCTGCCCCATTTGAAAAGTGTAGCATGGCACATCCTGTCCTGTGAATAGTGGGTTGTGCCTAGTCAACCCCTGGCATGATCTAGTAGGAAGAGAGTTCACACTATACGGAATTTGCGCCTTCTTTATATAAGTGTGATAATTAAGATCATGAAGTTGGACAGTGAAATTGTTGGGTCCACCAAGCTAACATTTTTTGTCAGCTTTTGCTGCTTAAATACGACACTTTTGACATTGATTGTTGTTATCTTGTGGAGTTTTACACTTATTACAATGTCCAGTAGGAATCTTGTACTTGCAAGTCATGCAACCTTACTCTTGTTTTTTTAGACCAGTAGAATCACGCAATCTTGGAAACATAGGGCCACTTAGAGGTTAGTTATGTTGGTGGAAGTGATTATTAAAAGGGCGATTGACTTCACATGTCTTGCGGAAGTGAGTAAGAGAAAAGGTTAGATTATAAGGCCTAGCACTCCGGAGTCCTGACTAATTAAGACTAGAAATGGATTTGGTGTTATTATTGATAAGTGACTGTTTGAAGATGTAGTTGAGGTTTAGTGAAAAGAGGATAAGATCATAAGGGCAATTCCATTTATGGTAGAGATTGGGAACGTAGTGCATATACTCCCCAAAGGAAGCTCTTAAAGGTGTTTTGTGATACAAGGTATTATACAGTGAGTGAACTAGAGATTTGAATGATTATGTGGGGATATGTTGCTATGGCTTTTCAATTGTTCATGGAGGATTTTGTCATGGAGTAAGGAATGAAGGGGAGAAACAATCTTGGACTTTGCACAACCATATGACTATAAGGGTAGTTATTTTGGTTATAAGGTGATGGAAACCTTGTGGAAACGGAAACGTTTCAAGGTATCAGGAACGGGGAAACCTGAAAAACCAGAAGTTTCTGTACTTTTTGGGTGACAAGTTTGCAAAGTTTTAGCATTTGGAATTAACAATTGATTCTTGCTTCTTTGTCTCAGGCTCACAGCTGTGAAGAAAGCTTAACATTTCACTTCAATGCTGCTAAGTGGAAGGTTTTTATGGACAATGTATTGAGAGGAGGAAACTTATAGGCAGCTATGTGAAAATAAATATTTGTCAATAGTTTATCTTTTTGTTCATGCTTCAGCCTTTTATATAGTATTGCAGTTTGTCCTGTTTGGAATGAAGTAGCCGGGTATTGCTAGATCTATCAATAAATCTGGTTTCTTTAGTCCTATCTGAATACATGTAAGGAAAAAAGGTGACTATTTTGTTGGGAACATCCTGGTTATTGAGGCTTTTGTATAGGTGGCTTGCAATTATAGATAGCTGTAGCAAAGTGCTTTGAGTGAACACAGTTTGTGTTTTTTTCATTTATGGCAGCGTTTTATCAAATGCTTTTTAGTTTTAGGGTTATTGATGCAACCTTGATTTAGTAAAATGCTGTATGTCATGTTGTGTATGATCCTTGTATCTCAGTATAAATACGACCTAGCATATATTGTTTATTGCATTGGATTACTATGGATGGAGTGCTTGCAAACCTAAGTAGATCATTGAATCTTGTCAGTTTATAAATGCTTTATTTATACCAGTGTGGTCTATTCACTTAACTTATTTTACATTATGTTTTCTAATTATACCAAATGCTTGTACGTTACAAGTCTGTTTGGTAAAAGGCAACATTTATGAATCTATGTGTAATATTTGTAAGAAAAATCCCATGACAATGCTCTTACCACCACATCAGTATTTACTATTCTGTATATATTTCCGTTACCCCACAATACCATCTCTAGAAATGGTTATGAAAATTCATTAGGAACACACACTCAGAGAAACTTGGGGTTACAGTTGCATTACCATGGATATGTAAGTGGCTTTCTTTGTGAAATACATGCATGTTTACTACCAATACTGTTATGTATTACTGCTACTGCCCACCAAATGAGCTTCTATGCTTTTTTTTTTTTGGTCTTTTCTTTTTCATTGCTGGGATGCCCCTGTTGTTCCTTAATGCAACATAGGACCAGATAGTTTTTCCAGAGGAGGCAGTTTTTGAGAAGGTATGTTTCCTTTTCTTTAACATTGATTCAACTTTTTGGAATTTTTTTTTTCTTAAAAATATACTACATGTGTTTAATTTGGTCCCATGGTTACAGTTTAAAGCCTTATATTCAATATGCAGGTTGAACAAGCAGCTGGAAGGGTCTACATATTGAAGTTTAACACCGATGACAGGAAATTCTTTTTCTGGATGCAAGTGAGTTGTACTATTCTTGCATTTGGTGCATTGATTCACCGAGGTAGAATTTTTGGTTTAATTTTTTATTCCTTTCTAACTTTTCTTTGCTGAACTATTTCCAGGAGCCAAAAGCCGAGGATGATCAACAACTATGTCGCTCAGTAAATTATCACCTTAATCGACCATTAGGTACTAAATTACCAATTATTATCACTTCTCAGTTTATAGCTCTGTTTTTTTTTTTTCTTTAAAAGCCTGGATCCCTCTGGCCTGGAGAAGAATAATCACATAATCCCTGATAAAATAAAATTAAAATAGTCACATAGTATTGCAAGAGGTTACCTGCCAAGAACCCATCTTTGTATAGTGAGAGAGAAAAAAAATTTATGGGTTTCAAGAATTTATCTTTTAAGAGCGAGGTGAGTGGAGAACGGAAAGTCCTTTGTTGGAAGAATGATATTGGCCTTGTCTTAGACTCCATCTGCTTCTCTCTCTTCTCTCCCTTCGTAATTTAGTTTCTCTATAGTTGTTGGTTGGTGGATAAACCAAACATGTTTGCAATGCATGTGCGTTGTTCACTGTTCGCTGTCTACTGGTACTGGACTTCGACCCTCACCTTTCTAAAGCTTTTCGAAGACATCCTACACAATCCTATGTAATTGGGATATTTTGAAGATGATAAATGTCACCAATTAGAGGTCTCTGTGCATGATAGATGTTTACAGTTTGTCTCAGTCATCTTGTTAGTTGCAATATACTCCCTCCCAGTGGCGGATCTAGGATTTCGGAACTTGTGAGTCACCCTGAATTACCGATGTACTGATGACCCGTAAAAGTTCCCAAAATTTTTTGAATGCATCATTTTGAGGCTTTGTGGCATCTTGGCCTTGTTTGGCTGTTTGACCAGCTGGTTTGTTTGGCTGTTTATAATGGCTTTTGAAATTGGCTGTTAAAGCTAGCTGTTTATAAAAGTGTTTGGTAAATTAATTGTTGATAGTTGGTTGTTTATTAGATAATTTGTGGGCCAACAAGCCAAAAGCCAACAAAAAAGCTACTCAAAGCAGCTTTTTCATTTTGGCCTAAAAGCTAGCTTTTTCACCGGCTAAAAAGCCAATTACCAAACACATTTTTTGACTGTTTGACCTCATAAAAAAGCCAAAAGCCAAAAGCTAACAAAAAAGCCACGAAAATGCCATTTACCAAACATGGCCCTTATCAAAACCCGACGAGCTTTCTCTAATAACCCAAAACTCACATACATGTAAAGCAAATTGTTCTGAGAAAACCCATCATATAAAAACACAAATTTGACAACATGGGCATGAATTTGCTTGTTTTTTAAAATCCAATTATCAATGCAACAAGCTCTAACAATAGAAGGAAACATGAAATTATTAGGCAAAGCAGAGTCCTGCAACATTCGTAAGTACAAAATCAAGCATTCTCTAGCCAAATAGCATTGCAAGTAACCCCTGATTAAGGTGTTGTATATAAAAGCATCTGGTTGGGGCATTTTATCAAACAATTAATGGACCTAAACCAAATCACCAGATTTCGACAAAGCACAAAACTTGATAGCTCAACCCATTACATCAAAGTATGAAACATTATGGTCAATAACCAACTAATCAAGACTACAAAGTACCGATTTTACCAAATAAGTTCAATTTAATTCAACATTTCAACACTACAATGAACATATTGAACAACCTGTCAAAGTGTCAAGACTATGAAATTATAGAAGACTGAAATTATAATTAATTAAGTAATTACCACAATGATGAACAACAAATCAACAATTCAGTTCAATTTAATCAATCAAATGACTGAAATTATACGTAATTAAAATTAAATCTGAATAACAAATTAAATAGTTCATAATTTAAATTTTAATGCAACAATACCTTGTTGAGTTGCTCTGCTTCAATTGGTGGTCACAAGTCACTCACTCACTCGGTGTCTCGGTCACTCCGGTCTGTGGCGGTGGGTGGTGTGGCGGTGCGGCAGGTAGGAGACTAGGAGAGTGAGGACTGGTGGTCACAGATCTACAGCAAAATGGTGAGCTGTGGTCGCCGTAGATGGTGGCTGGTGCTTACTGCGGTACTGGTACGGTGGGCTGGTGGGTCTTTCGGCGTCGGCGATCGAAATGTGACAGAGTCAGAGAGGGAGTTAGGGTTGTGTCGTTTGAGTTCGTTTGTTCTGTTCCTCTGTCGCTCTTCGCTTCACGCGTTTTGCCTTGTTTCTTTTTTTTTTCCTCTCTTTAATAAACTTAATTTTTTTTCCCTGCCGAGTCACGTGACCCAGCCCTCTGCTCCCTCCGTTTTTTTTTATTAGCATCACTTCTATATATAGTAACTTTATACCATTTTTTTATTATATCTCTCTCTCACTTTAAACCCCACTCAAATAATTCATTTCCCTCTCTCACGGTCCCCACTACTCTCTCTCACGGTCCCCACTACTCTCTCTCACATATTTCCACTTTCATGGTCCCCACATTACTTTTATCATAATAAATTATTCATCCACATTATTATATTATACCAAATTCACTCTCCTAAAACTCCGTGCAAACACAAGTGTTGCAAATGAAAAAAAAACGGAGGGAGTGTATTAGAATTTATTTTTGTACAGAGTGACAGTGAAAAATCTATGTTAATCATGTTGACAAATTATTGAGCTTCATTTTTTTTCATTTATTATTTATTTATTCATTTTTTGTAGAATTTCTTGCTGAAGAGGATTCTGGAGCATCAATTCCCATTCAAACCGAGGATATGGTTGAAGATGATATATCATCTAGGTACATTTTTTCTTGATGTACTATATGCTTAGTTTTCATAGGAAGTTGTACTTCATGATCAACCATTGCAATATTGCATTGAGAATGAAATGTGCCTATACCTTGCATAAAAAGAGAGAAAAGGGAGAAGGGAAAATTAACAAAAGAAAAATGATAGTAGATGCTTGCTTTCAAGGGATGTCATCATGTATGTATTAATTTTCATACACAGTTGGAATAAGAATACTTGCAGAACTGGGAAACTTATCAATGTTCGAGATGATAAGTCTTCTTAAAAGCTACATTGTTTTGTTGAAGTTAGTATTGTTTTATTTGGTTGATGTTCTAATTCATGGGAGTCTACTTTTCTAAAATCTAGAAGCTTATATTGTTTATGTTCATGTTAATCTATTCTACCCCTTAAAAAAAAAAGCTAATATTGTTTGGTTGGCATGAGCATTGAGCATAGGAATTGAAACTTAGGAAAATTCTAATTCTCACATAATGAGGGAAATTGCTTACCTAATCCCACCTATATAAATAGAACTTCCCATGGGAATTCCATCTTCCTATGCTCAACCAAACAATATTGCTCAATTTCTAGGCAAGTGTGTATTTAACCAAATGACCACAATATTTGCTGTGTTGTGGCCTTTACTTATTAATTTGGTTGTCTAATTTTAACTTCACTCTGCTTATGTCAGTAATTGGGAGTATTACAACGAAGTGCTTCTCTTTCTATTTCAAATGCCCAAAAAGAAAAAAAAAAAAAACAGAAAGTGCTTGCTTTTATGAGATGAGGTCATGTATATGTTGAAGATTACAAACCCAAAAATTCAAACAGTACACATTTTTTGCATTAATTTTCCTGTCTAGGATAACTTGCATAGTTCTCTTCTAGTAAGTTGCCTCCTGGAAAGTTGCCATTGATTTATTGAGAAAAAAATATTAGTAAGAGCTACTCTCTTTGATATAACACTTCAAGAATTGTCACACATGGCGAATTAGTAAGAGCTACACTTTCTAAACCTTTCTCTCTGCTTCAGTGTGACCAGATCTTTCGTTCGCCAGTTTGAGAACACTCAAGCCTTAATTTCATCTCTACTTAAGTCTTTGTTTCTCCCTTCTTTAAATTTGCCAACAACCATACGGCCTACATCCGCATGAGCTTTGAGCTTTTCGTCTGTCGTTGGTCTGATTATTGGTCCCATTTGTCTTAAATTGGAAAAGGCTAAAGGATTATGTTGATTGGGGGAAAATCCCCAACATCTGCCATGAAGTGGTGAAACAGAGAGTGGGGGTGAAGGTAGTGAAGCAGAAAGAAAGGTTTAGAAAGTAGGTGTTTTGACTTTTTAGAGAGAGATGCTTTGGAATTCTAAAAGAGAAAGGAGCACAATAACAGTAATGGTTTTTAATGTTGCCTTTGTATCATAGTGCATTTATATTTTGGATGAGAGGAATGGGCTAAAATAACTTATGTTTTGGATAGGAGTATAATGTAACTTTGAAGTTTATATGGCTTGTAGTATTATGGCCTGTAATGGTTCAACTCTAGTAGTATAGATTTGGTAAATTGGACTCTGCTCATGTCAGCATTTCGAAACATTCTGCGATGTCTACCAATGCTACTCCCTACATAATCGTTTTCCGGTTTCCATAATGGATTTAAAGTTGAGTTTTAGACCATCATCTCTTTGTATTGTTATATGTTCATATCTTAAGTACTTTGTATTTTTTAAAAGTTGCCAAGGACAATTATTGTTAAATGGATGTAGTTTAAATCTTTATATACTTGTTTGTAAATTGCAGAGCTGGTAATTTGATTGGCTCTAGCATGGGAGGTGAAGTAGTGAGTGATGTGACCTCTGCCCCTGGACCAGTAAAAATGTCTGATTTGCAAAGGATATTAAGTAATCTACAACCTGCAGGTATATTTTTCTGAAAACACTGTTGTTTCGACCATCAAATTTTGGCCTCTTCCTTTGTTCTCCCCCTCCCCCTCCCCCTCCCCGTCCTCCCAGTTCCTATGATCTCATTTCTAAACTCTTATCTGTTACCTTGTAGGATCTGTAGATGATATGGAAGATCCTGATGGAGGTAACCACATAATTCATATAGATTTATATATCACTTACATATGTAGTTGTGTGAATGTTTTGGAGATCAAACATTTTAGCTTGAGTCTTTGCTCCTGCTATATGAAGGACTTATCTATATATTTATAGAGTCCGTTCTCTTATTGTTACTGAGTTGTTTTAAGTGATTTATATATCTTATTTTCTTGGTTTATATCGGCTTCGTGTTAAAGAAACATGACTTATTTTTCTTTTGAATTATCCTGCTATTTTTAGCATTTTGTAATTAAGGTATTGAAGAAAATATTTGTAGCTGTAACATCACTAAGGGTAATGCCCATCTCCGATCAATAAAATGCTACAAGTGTTACCCAGTCTGATGCATTATCTGCTTCATGGCTGAATATTGATTGTCATTAAAATGGGAAAATTCATTGATGGTTGTTAGTCTTTACCTTTTTTTTTTTTTTTGGAAACAGTTGTTAGTCTTTACCTCACTCTGCAGTCTGCATAGGAGAATTTTGTCATTTGTAGATTAGGGATGCCTTGTTATATGGGAATCAATTAGCTTTGTGGTTTTTGTTCATCTTTTGCTGCTTGTCTTGGGTACGTCTGATCTCACTGTTGGATGGTTTGTGAATACAAGTGTATATCATTCATCAAATCAGATAAAAAGGAACAGTCTTATAATGGCTGTCTTATTGTTGCTATCTGTCTGTTACAGGCTTTGGTTTAGGGGATCTTTTGAAGCCTGATCTGGTATTACCGTTGCTTGAGACTTTACCTATTGAAGAACGCCTGGCTTCATATTTGCCAGAGGTAAATACATTTTGGTACTTTTTTAAGCTTACTATATTTCTACAGGGCAATGTTTTTATATCTTTGAGATTACAGGGTCAACAGTCGCGTCATGACTTGTTAGAAGTACTACAGTGTGCTCCTTTCCGCCAACAAGTTGATGCTTTCACCTATGTAAGAACATGTCTTCCTGTTCCTTTGATTAAATTATATCATCAAAAGGGTTGCCCTGTTTTCCATCCCCCATCCCTCTTGCATTAATTGTTATTCACGTTCTTTTTTCTGTAGGTTCTGAAGACAGGCCAAATAGATTTGGCTCAATTTGGCATTGACCCGAGTAAATGTGAGCAACCTGCACCCTCCCTTCCTCTATTGCCTTTCGTTCTTTTGTTTTTCAATCCTGAGGCTTTAACCACTTGTCAGTAGAAAACCAGAAATTTGTCTGAGTAATATATCAGGATATCTGCCTACTGATTAATAACAGTTTTGAATAGTTCAATGATTTTGAGTGCTGCTGTGTCACAAGCTTTAATTATTATTATTATTAATATTTTTTTTGTTGATCACGAGGGGCAAGCCCCAGACAAGCTTTAATTATTGAAGTTGATTGTATTCTTGTTTTCTTCGAATGCAGACAAGTTTACTGTTCTTTCTTTCCTGGAGGCATTAGAAGACTCTGTTGCAAAAGGCTTGGAACCTGATGCATTGGGGCAAGGAACTGATCAGATGGACGAAGGGCAATAGTGTATGGCATTTTGAGATTGTTTTTTCTTTACTGCATTGATCCTGTGGAGCAATAGTTGCTTAGACATCCTCGTCTTTGTTTCCCCTTTTATTCTGCCTGGGTAAGAGAGGGGAGGGGTGTTTGGATTTAGAACCAAGACTTACTCAAGCAATGCAGATAGTCTCTAGTTATTACTAGGATACTTGTTTACATTTAAATAGGCAAGACATCCCTTCAACTAGTAGTATTTTTTTCGTTTTCTTTTTGTTTAGGGGTTGGATCCATGGTTGCAAATGAAATTCTTGGAATGGTGTGGATAATTTGTTAATATTGAATATATTCATTGATTCTTCTTGGGTTAGCTGAGCAGAAATTTATTGTCATGTTGGTCCCTTGTTTGTTATCGTCTTATGCTCTAACTCTACCATTGTACTGGTCCGAGTTGGTAGTGATGGGTAGCACGGTCTGCTGTTGTAGGCTTGTGCAGGCTAATCCAAGGGCCTCAGGCCCTCAGCCTATGGGACACTGCCAGCCCGCAGCACCGTTTTAACAGTTTTGGGTTTTTGCGTTAAGAGAATAGAGATTGGCCATGTTGTTCTGGTGTTTGCAAAATACTGAATCGTCGTCAAGGCAAATTACTTTTAGATTAAAAGCTAAAAAAAAAAAGTAAGATAATTACGCCTAGTGTTTTAAGTATGGTCTTTGGCAACATTATTTATTTATTTTTTTTGAGAGAATTGTTTAAAGTTTTCTTTTTGGTAGAAAAATAAATGTTTTTTTCCCCTACTTTTTACTCGTTTGTAGTTAAAGCTAGGGTTGTTCATCGGTCCAAGGCCAGACTGGACCATAGACTGAAAATTAGAATTTTAAAAATCGAAAACTGAACCAATTAAGCTAGGACCAAACTCGGACCGCATTGAAGACTGGACCAATTAAGCTAGGGTTGTTCATCGGTCCAAGGCCAGACCGGACCAAAGACCGAAAATTAGAATTTTAAGAACTGAAGATTGGACCAATTAAGCTAGGACTAAGCCAGGACCACATCGTTTTGGACTTATTTAAGAATTTTTTAAAAAGAATTCTAATTTTTTTTAAATAATTTTATGGAAAATTCGAAAAACGTAAAGGAAAATCAACACTTTAACTTTATTTTTTATTTTTTATTTTTTTTGTGTATATTTAGTACAAAAAAGCTCATAAATTTAAAGTTTTCTAAGCTTATTGAGGATAATTTTAACCATTATTTAAGATTTCATGCATATTTTTAATAAAAAAAATTGGTCCAGTCCAAGATCGGTTTTTATAGGATTTTGGACTGGGTTGGATCAAAGACCGGAAAACAAATTTTCATGCCCGAAGACCGGACCAATTAATTCGGTCCAGTTCGGTCCGAGGTCGGTCCGAGGTGGTGAATTTTTTCGATCTGGATCGATTTATGAACACTCCTAGTTAAAGCATATATTTTCTTTATAGCGTTATCAAGGGAAAGTAGATTCATTGAGCACATCAAAATATTTTATAGATAGCATATATTTTCTTTATAGCGTTATCAAGGGAAAGTAGAATCATTGAGCACATCAAAATTTTTATAGATACATTGCTAATTTGCCACAACTATAAGTTAAGGACTAAAAAGACAATGGAATTATTATCTGTTAATAAAATTGATGTACATACAAAACTCTATTCCAAAGTCGAAATGTATCCAACTCTTAACATAAATCTGAAAAATGTACTAATCTCCCACTTTTTTCATCACAACTTAGCTTATGCATAACACCACCTCGGACGCATCCATTTTGTGTTCATCTTTACTTTTTCTTTGGTGGCCAAGAGGCGGTCCACGGGTGGGGAGAGGACTAGGCAAATTCTAGCCTTCTAGGGAGTTTACATTGATCAAATGTTATAAAGTTACGATTGGAGAACGAGAGAGAGAAATAAAAAGGATTTTATACATGCTACAATTTTTCTCCTGATGAAGATGAAGCACTTGTTTGGCTTCTGTTGCTAGATGCTGTCGATTGCAATGATGGGTTTTCACTATCCTGTGAATACTGAAACCAAACAGCTCGTTAGTCCTTGTAGCATGTACGTGTTTAGGGACCAAAAATTAAATGTGGCATATTATTTAAGGACAATGAGTCTACTATATTGTACTCGTAATAGTAGAAATAATAGTATCGAACTTACATTGTTTATGGTCATGACTTGACTTGGCCTATATGACGAGTTTGAAGAAAACATGACGGTGGGCATATTTGCTTCACCGAACTCCTTAAATCTGTTAAGTTCAGGAAGTATTTGAATAAGATCAGGTCTATCCTTTCTTCGTAACTCTGCACATTGAAGCGAAAGTTTAGCAAATTGTAAGGCCTCTTCGTAAGGACAATCATGTATGTACGGATCCAACATATCTCGAAAAGTCCCTCTTTCGATAGCCCTTTGTACGTGATGAGTTAAACCCATAGCTGGCTTAGCCGTGATAAGTTGCAAGTACAAGATGCCTAAGGAGTAAATATCCGATTTAGTCCCTAGCATCCCGGTTTGCTGATACTCTGGATCGATGTAACAGAATGTTCCGGCTGCTTGAGTCATCCGATACTGTGTTACTGTGTCGGCCATAGATGGTGGCACCAACCTTGCCAATCCAACGTCACTGATTTTACTCACAAAATTTCGATCAAGTAAAATGTTGGCTGGTTTAAGGTCACGGTGCACTAATGGCTCGGGCTTTGACTGGTGAAGAAAGAGCAATGCTGTTCCGATTTCTGCTGCAATGCGGAATCTTAGTTGCCATGGGAGTGGCGGAGTGTTATCTCTACAAAAAAGGCGGTCTTCTAAGCTTCCATTCGACATGTACTCGTAGACTAGACAACCGTACTCGGGGCATGCTCCCAAGAGGAGCACCATGTTTGGATGTCTTATGCAACTTAGAATTTCAACCTGCAACATCACATGATATATTGCACATATTATAGTCTTTTGTGGCATAACTTTGAGCAGGTTGTATAGTATTTATGATAGACCAGTCAATATAGTTCGCATTTTATTTTTTTGGGTAAGATAGACCTTTCTAAACTAACACCTCTTACAAGTCAATCAACTCAACTATACAAGTCAATGCTTGAGAATAGAGGGGGGAGGTAAGGGAATATAGTTAGCATTTTGGCCCTAACATCTTGGTGTATACGAACATTTATTCTATTTTAAGCCGTCCCAAAATAATAAGCTAAAGCTCAATATTTTTTAACACATCCTATAATCATTTGCACAAATTATTTTATGCAACTGAGAGCACGAGACTTACCTCTTGTTGAAATTGAGCCTCTCCCTGCGCGGCATCAGGCCTAAGAACCTTAATGGCAACAAGTGTATGATCAAGAGTGCTCTTATAAACAGGGCCATAACCACCTTCACCAATCTTAAGTGATTCAGAAAAGTAAGAAGTAGCAGCTTCAATCTCTTTGATGCTATATTTCCTATACCTAACATCATTGTGATTCAAAGCTTCAAGTGCTGCCTTCTTCTCTTCTGCTTCTTTGGTGGCTTTCTTTTCTGCTAACTCTCTCTTTTGTGATTCGAGATCTGCCAATCTCTGAGCGGCTTCGGCTGCTTCCATTGCCGCTCTACACTTGGCTTTCTCTTGCTCCGCGATTGCTCGTGCTGTTTCCTCTGCGTAACGTGCCTCTTCTAACCTGTGATCTTCTTCTATCCTTGATCTTTGAAGCTCACTTGCCTAAAGATAAAATTGGCAAACAAACAAATTATTAGTGTGCTTTGTATTAAATATTTTTCGGGCTCAAATATTTTTGTTGTTGCATGGAAACGGATAACAAGATAGATAGGCAATACTTGGGGGAAACTAAACTAGGAAACATAGGTTTTTTTAGGTTTTTTTTTTTTTTTTTTTTTTTTTTTTTTTTTTTTTTTTTTGAGCTAAAGAAAGATAAGTTTTGAAGAAGAGGAAAAACAGAACATTATTTAAGAGAGTTTCGAGTATGAAAGCGTATCCAAAATAGAAATGTTGATTTCAAACAAAATTTTCGTGCATCATATTGTGCGTATGTTCATCATAACGGGGTGAAAAATCAATATTAGCCATGTTATTTTTTTTTGGCAGGTCAGGTCAATTTCAATTTGAGTCAAAATTAAGTTACGTAATTTTAAATTCAATCTGAGTAATCGGACACGAGTCATGTGACACATGCATTAAATCCTAGTAAACAAATATTTCAGCACCTTTTGTTTTGCAGTTAGTGCTTCCTTGCAAGCTGCATTATACATGTCCATAGTTTTCTTGAGCTCCATTCTCAATCTTCTCATCTCAGACTCAAAATCTTCCTGTCAGATTCAATCAAAATCAAACTTTTAATCAATTTTTACTAAGGTTTACATAGACAATGAGATCTTATCATATAAATTTGTTAGATATCTTACTGAAGATGATGAAAAACCACTAGCATTTGAAGAGGAATACTCCAATAAGGCATTTTGATCGATTGATTTCCTGTCTGCCACAGAACCAATACTCATCCGATCTGCATCCGATCCACTCGAAGGCCGAGGCGCGAGACCCCAGTCCATTGCATCAAAGGAAGGACGATCAATACTAATTCTTGGCTCATTGGTTGGCCAAGAAGGGTTAACAAATGATATGTCAGAATCTGGCATACCAATTTCACCATATGCCCTGCCATTTGCTGCTCTTCCTCTAGTAAATGGTGACCTATTGCCAAAAAAAATAAAGATCATGGTTAAATGGTTGTTGTTTACATATATGATATGTCGTAGAAAATATCTGATGCAACCGTTGTAAAAATTGTGCACTTGCCTTATTGAGTCCATTTCTTCAATGCTCCTATTTGGGTTATAATGACTCTTTTCTCTATCTATTGTACAAAAAAAAAAAAAAAAAAAAAAATTGATTTGATATAAGGTGTGTTTATTTCAACTTAATGTTTTAATAAAAGCCGATTTAAATAGGTGTAACAATTAAGTGAAGAGAGCACGGTCTAAATGATGATTGTACCTCTTGGAACATAACCACCAGGACGGATGGGGGACTCGTATATAGGGATACCATTGGGGATGGGTTGGCAATGTGGCGGGCTTCGGCTAGAAGGCCTTGGGAGAGGACGAGTGGCGGACCGACTTTGTAACATTTTCCCCTTGGAGATCACATAAACAGAGCAAAAATCAGGGCAACCTTTGAATAGATTTGTTGCAACATCTGGGCCTTTGAACCTCCTGCTCCAAACAAAAGAAGCACATGACATAAAAAGTCTAATATGCCTAATAGATTAGGCAATTAATAGAGGGCAAAATGTCGTAAATACCCTTAGTGAGCAAACTATAGTACGTGAGACTCATGTAATTAAGACAACCATCGACATTTTGCCCCCTATTGGTTGTCTAATCGTCCAAGCATTAACTACCTATCTTGATCCAAAACACACGATTCTTAACACTGTTATGTCTAATCGTTAACATATACAAATATTACCTCATCAATTGATTCCTTGATGAAGCACTTACAACCATGACCTCAATCGCGTTATGTTGACAATATTCTATCAAAGCTTTCGAAATGTCAACGTCTTCCAAAATAACCTCATTACATATAACCTAAGGATAAAAAAAATCATGCATAAGATTGTAATTAAGCTTAAAGAAAGTTAATTTTGTACCCAAGAAAGCATATCAATAGATAGCTTAAGAGACAAGGTAAAGAAAACGAACATCTTTACGACTACAGAAACATCGAAAAGGAAGGAAAATTTCCCGAGCTTGAGTTTCAGCGTAGTACTTGGCGGATCTAACAACATCTTCATGACTATCAGAGAGGGGCGTCGGCGAATCTGTAATTGCACAAGACATTGTTAATAAGGCAAGTGAGCAACACATTGTAAACAACCACATTTTTTTTTGTTAGGAGGCAATTATATGTTTTTACAATATACTTCCTTCGCTTTTTTAGTTGACACTGTTTGACTTTTATACCATTCACACAACATGCTTTGACTCGCTTTTGTGGTTTATACGTGATGTGGTCAACGTCAGAAAATAAAAGTCAACGATGACTTTTCGACTAGGGTAGTCTCTTACAACATTTACCATTTTATAAGGTAGTTTCTTACAACTTTTTTTATTAGGTAGTTTCTCTAAAAAAAAAAAAGTGCTTTATAAGATAGTTTTTCACAAAATAAGTAGCAGCCACGCAACGTACATTAATTAACAATTTAACCCCTCTCTCTATAAAAATCTAAGCAAGGTTCACCTTTAAAACACATTTTTTATCCAGATTTCTATCCAAACATGGTAAAATAGGTCTATTAGGCCAAAATAGCCTAAGAACATAACGACCTTAAACACCCCACGTCAAAGGCCAAAAATTAAAATGTTCGACTTTCAACCCAACCCGACCCTAGGAGAGAACCATATATGTATATATGAAGGAAATAATGTTATGTTTGGCATGTTTATAAAGCACAAAAACATAAATAATTGAATGTAGATAAACAAATTAAACAATTACATACTTATAAAGGAATTGGAAGAATTTCTTTGCTTAACATGGAGCAAAGTAACAGTTTGACCCTTGTTAAGAACATGGTCAACAGCCCATTTTAGGGCATATTGGCTTCCTTTATCCTTATCAATTGCAACAGCAACTTCACCATTTTTCTTAGCCTCACCAACAACATTACTTTGTGGTGGTGGTAGTAGTTGTTGTTGAAGGTGGTGTTGTTGTTCGCGATTCCACATCATATATTATCAATTTAACCTTCTTTGTTCGTGGTTGCCTTAATTAATCCTTAACCCCTCTCTTCTTTTTCTTTGTGTGTATTCTTCTTATGTTGTACCTCCTCCGCGCCTCAATTCCTCGAAAGGAGAACGCAGAGGAGATGTAGGATAAGAAGAATCACTTAGAGAAATTGTATAGTTATGTAAGAAATTAAATTATAAAAACCAATTCAAGCTTTCATATATTTATTTCAAAGTTTGTTTTTTTTTTTTTTTTCCCTCTCCCTCTTTTTCCTTTCTATTTATTTTTTTTGTTAAGGGTTGTTTTTCATTTGATCAAATGGCAGTATTTCTCTCTCTTCTACTTATTTACAACCTTGAAATAATCTAATTTGAGTATATACGTGTGCTAGTAAAATCTAGAGCCTTTTGCAATATTTGCTTGATTTCTAACCTTTCCCTTGATTAACGGATAACCCTCTTTTCTTTTGTTTATTTACCCATCTCAAGTTAATAATATGCAGCATGACGTTTCAATCTCAATAACACAAAGTATATTTAATCTAATCTACAAAGAATTATAATTTATAATTTTATAAGTTGTGTAACAAATACGAAGTATATGTTTGATTTATACTATTCTTTGACTAATTGAAGTGTAATCTATTAACTATTACTAAAACAAAACATTGATGATGTCATCAATTTCTTAAAGTGCTTACGTGTCAAACTCTCATAAAAAAATTTTCCGTCCAAATTTGACAATATGATGTCATCAATTTATTTATTTATTATTTATTATTTATTTATATATTTATATATTTATTTATTTTTTTTTTTTGCGGCTAGAAACTAGGACCAATTAGGTATGAAACTTGAATTTGACATCAATATTGTTGTATATACTCTACACTAATTTTGGATATTCATAATACAACAATATTATATAGACGTAAATATTCGTAGCTAATTATACACATTTTTTTTTGAACAAATTAATACACATTTTAGGAAAATTTTATACATAGCCCTTAGGGCTACATATAAGCATTAAATTTACACTTGAAAATCGTAAAAAGTTAAGAAATCATCAAAATATAAACACTAATAACATCGATTTACGCGTGTTAATGTCATTTCCAAATTTTATACAATTTCCAAAAGTATATTTAATGCTTATATATAGCCCTTAGGGCTAGATATAACATTACCCTTTTTAATATACAATATAGACAAAGGTATAGATAAAGCAGGTTTACTATAATTATCGTACATTTATTTGAGTGTAAATTAAAGTTGCTAATTTTAACAAGAAATTTATCTTGTAAAATCACTTAAAATGTACAAAATAAATCATCATACATGTTATAAGTTATTATAAGCTCTTCAAAAGTCAGGTTAAAGTTACCCTACTAATTGATAATATTTGAATATATATAGAGACTCCATTATTTAAGGTGTTATTTGGTTGAAATACGAAATATAATAAGAAGATAAAATTCGTAGGAATTAGGATTTTTTTTTTTTTTTGGTATTTGATTGACAAATCCATGAAAAGTAGAAATCCATAAAATATTTCACTTCTCACAAAATGGATTTGAAGAACTAAATTACCCAATGAGGCGTACGTAAGTGAGCACTTCCATGATTAACCAAACAATATTTAACCTTTTTTAGAAAATGCTTTTCTTTTGAGAAATTTTTTTAGGATAAGTAATGGTAGATATAGAGACTTAGTGCTTGTTTCAGTTGTTTGGTTGAATGTAGGAAGTGTTAATTCTTTGAAAAGTTTTATTTTCATTTTTCTACGAAATTCAATTACATGGAAACAAAACTTTTCAAGGAATTAACCGTTCCTACCTTCAACCAAACAAGCACTAAGTATCTATATCTACCAGTAACCTACTCAATTGATCAATACTATTTTTTTTTTTTAATTTTAGGTCTTAAATCTTGTAAGATATATGCCATGTCATCATTGCAAAATCTATGTCTTTAGTGCATATTGTAATGATTCTAGCTATCATCATTAAGTTTATCTATGTATTTTAATTTTTATGAAAATAAACACTATTTATATATAATTATATTATATCTCTTAGACAATTACATGTCATGCTAAGGTGGCAAACTTCATGCTCTTGAAAAAGTTTTTCTATTCTTATTGAAACAAAACTTTACTTTGTCCATTTCATAAAAAATTAAATATCCCATTTATCAATGTTAGTGATTTATAGGTAAGAAAAAAATATAGTCATGTAAGTATTTCTTATAAATTACAATCGTCTTTTTATAATATATACTTATTAATATTTAAAATATATTAGTGGCCAAAATTCTCTATTTACATATTTGCCTGATTAAATTGGGTATTTATTTTGAAATAAAGGAAGTATTTTATTTCAATTTCAATTATGAATTTGTGACACGACATCCTTATGTGGCATGCATTATATATGCGAAAGTTTTTCCCTTCATATTAGGCTAGTTTTTGTATGATGCATGAATAAAAACACACACACACATTGAATTTATTTGTTAAGAGCTCAATGGAATGTGTCGTTAGTTTTCAATTTTCAGAATTGTATATGAATTAAATACTTATATAAAAACGTGTAAAATGATGATACAAAGAAGGCATGGAAAATTTTCAGTTAATAACTTAATAACCATCGTAGTTTGATTAAATTGAAATTTATTGAATTCAATATGAAATGAAAATGAATTTGCTAGATTATGATTTCTATTGTAAATGTCACATGCCTTTCAATTAATAGAATGATATTATTAGATTTAAAAAGAAAATATAAATCATGTCAAACTATAGAAGAGATATCATCAAATTCAAAAGAAAAAAATTGCTTTGTCAAAAACAAAAAGAGGAAAAGTGTTGCTCATAAATAGCAAAAAAAATGTAACTGTTGTAAATCCTTGTCTAATTGAAAGGCTAACCGGATATATCTCAAGTAACACAACTACACACACAATATTCATGGAAAAAACAAAGAAAAACAACATTAATCCTCTACCATTACCATATTTCCTCAATTTTCAATTTTATTTCTAATATCTTCTATTCTTAGCCTCTTTTTGTTTTTTCATTTTTCTCTCTCCCCTTTCATCCCCTTCTTTGTGTTCTTCCCTTATGCCATCAAAATCATTGTTTTTGCCTTTGACCTTTCTCTTTTGGAAGAGAGGTCTAGGTCATACATTCCAATCACGATCCTTCTTGTAAAGGGCGGTATCATCTGCCCTTTACACACCTCAATCTACATGATCATATGGCTTCTATGCAAAACCAACCGCGCCATTCTCTTATTTTCTTGTTCATTATCTTCCTCCACATTGCCATTTCTTATAGCGCGTCTTCCTCAACAGACGATGCAAATGCCTTACTAACGTTCAAGAAAACCCTAAAGGACGAGTCTAATGCTCTTTCGAGTTGGAATCTCTCTACACCTCCATGTTTCGAGAATAGGAATAATTGGGTTGGTATCATTTGCTCGCGAGCTGGTAATATTTGGGGGTTAAGGCTCGAAAACATGGGATTATCTGGATCCATCGACGTTGATTCCCTAGTCAAATTATCAAAATTACGGTCCATAAGCCTTATGCACAATAGTTTTAGTGGTGAATTGCCTGATTTTAGGCAGCTAAGAATGTTGAAAGCATTGTTTTTGTCATATAACAACTTTGAAGGTGTTATTCCTCCTAATGCATTTGATGGGATAAGACGTTTAAGGAAAATTCATTTATCATTTAATAAATTTAGTGGTGAAATTCCTAATTCTTTGGCAACATTACAAAAACTTGTGGAGGTAACTCTTCAGGGTAACCAATTTCAAGGGAATATTCCAGATCTTAAATCAACACAAAATCTTCAAGTTTTTAATGTTTCTAATAATCAATTACAAGGTTCTGTTCCTGCTAATCTTTCCAAATTTGATCCAAGTGCTTTTTCAGGTATATTTTGTTCTTTATTTCATTTATTAACATTGTTTATTTCATATACAAATATAAAATCGTTGTTTTTAATAAGATAATAGATCTATTATGTGTACACATGACGTAATGTGTTCGTGGAATTTTTATACATAAAAAAATGTATGATAGTTCATAATATATTTGGGAATTTTATTTTGAAACTTAATTTAGACATCAGGTCTCAAGAATTAACTTATACAATTGAGATTATATGTTTTTTATGCATACTAATTAATATGTTTACATGTACATATTATTTATAATCACAAGAAATACAATTAATTTTCTTTCTAAAAATTTATTAGTGTCTAACCTAATCGAATTTTGTCTATCTATTGTTATGTTTTAAATCATAATTACGCGCAAAAAGGTTGAGTCCCTATTTATTAATAGGGTGTCAATGTAAATTCATGATTTAAAATTGGGTTCAAATTAAACACAAAGTGTAACATAATTTTTTTTTTCTTGTCTCTATACTTGAACGCAGGTATCAACAGAGTTGAGTTGATTATTTTACCTTGGACATAAATAATTTTACATAATTTATATACAAATTCAATAATATAAAAAATATATAAATATAATATATTGACATAAACTTAAATTTTGTATTTTTGAATAGGTAACAAAGATTTATGTGGACCGCCTCTAAATGCATGCCCACCGTCGTCATCGTCCTCTAACCGGAAGACAAATACGGCACAACCATCACCGGCGAAATCATCGGATAAACCGGTTCCAATTGCAATCATAGCAGTTGGAGTAGGAATGGCAATTATTTTGGCAATTTTAATCATTTTAATTGTTGTTGGCATTAATCGATCCAGGAAGAACAACAACAACAACAACAACATGCCTTCTTTAACGTCGAATTTACCTAAGAAAAGCATGGTGGAACACGACGAAGAAGAAGGCCCTAATAAAAGCACAAACGTTGTAAATGGTGGTGTAGGCCGAAACAATAAAAGCGGCGAAAATGTTGGGAAATTAACATTTGTAAGGGATGATAGGGAGAAATTTGACTTGTCAGATTTACTAAAAGCTTCAGCTGAAATATTAGGAAGTGGGAGCTTTGGATCTTCGTATAAGGCGACATTGAATAATGGAAATTCGGTTGTTGTGAAGAGGTTTAAGCAAATGAATAATGTTGGAAGAGAAGAATTTCAAGAACATATGAGAAGATTAGGGAGATTATCACACCCTAATTTACTCCCTCTTGTGGCTTATTATTATAGAAAAGAAGAGAAACTCTTTGTTAGTGATCCTGTTCAAAAGGGTAGCCTTGCTCTTCTCCTTCATGGTACGTCTTTTTTTTTGTCTCTCTCATCCATGCACAACCTTAACAACATATATACGGTGTAGTAGACGACGTCATAAATTATGGGAATGGTAATGAATGTGTGTGTAACAAATTTGTGAAAAATAATTGTGAGTCTATTGTGGGGTCATCTATATACAATATACCGTTGTTTACTTCATAAACTTTCATTACCATTCATTACCATTAGTAAGGTGGTATTGAATGGTAATGAAAATTCACCAAGAAATTCACCTGCATGGGGATGTATTGAAGTTATTGTTTTTAAATTGACTTAGAAATTCGTTACCATTCCCACAATTTATAATCACTAACCAAACAAGTCATAAGTACCTAACTAGTTACTAATTAGAGTAACTAATTACTAATTAGAGTAACTAAGTATCCCTATAGATACTTTTCATTATAGTCTAATGCAGCTTAGAAAATTTTAAAATAGAGAAATGAAAAGTGTGGGATTATAAAAGAGGAATACTTAGCTTGTAAAATAAAGAAGTATGGTTCAAATAAGTAATAAGGATATGTATAAATCTTGTGAGTCATTGCATCAAAAAGATAAATCTTGTGAGTCATGTGAAATTTTGTTAAAAGGTCAAAGTTATTTTTTCAATAGGAGGTAATACATACCTTTAGATAACTTCTTTAATTATTACTTCCTTGCAACTTTTAAATAATCTCAAAAATATGTGAATTTTGAACCTACAAATGTTTCTTACTTATTTTCTATGTAAATTGTAGGTCAAACTCGGGGAACACCAACCTTAGATTGGCCAACACGATTGAAGGTAATCAAGGGAGTAGCAAAGGGTCTTTCCTACCTATACAAAGAGCTAGCTTGCTTAGTTGCACCTCATGGCCACCTTAAGTCATCAAATGTACTCCTAAACGCCTCGTATGAGCCTCTACTCGGAGATTATGCACTAATCCCTCTCATTAACCAAGAAACCGTGCAAGAAATGATGATAGCCTACAAATCACCCGAGTATTTCAACAACGGTCGCATCACCAAGAAAACCGACGTGTGGTCACTAGGGATCTTAATCATAGAAGTGTTGACGGGCAAATTTCCGGCATCATACTTGCAACAAGGGAGTGAAGTTGATATGACAATTTGGGTAAGGTCAGTGATAAATGATGGATATGACAAAAATATGGGACTAACAAAAAATAGTGAGGGTGAAATGCAAAAATTACTAAACATTGGAATGGCATGTTGTGAAAGAAATGTTGATAAGAGGTTGGATATTAAGGAAGCTTGTGTAAGGCTAGAGGAGGTACGAGAACGAGACCGCGAAGACGACGATTTTCACTCGACGTGTGCTAGTACGGATGCTGATCATCGTTCTTCTAGAGGAACGTCTGAAGACTTTGCTGTGATTATCAATTAGATGTGTTTCCTAACATGCAATGCTTACTCCTCGTATATCATCAAAAGGGCTGGACGTTAGTTGTTACACTTATCGCGAAATCCAAATCTTATGTCCCACTTTTTATGTTCCACAATTGTGTTCTTACTTGTTGGTAAACACAACTATTCAAGCCCTAACCCTTATTTGATTAATTAATGAAAATATTAAAATGAACCAATTCAAATGAACGGCGGCATACAGGTAATACTACATCAAAAGTGGGACAAAGATTTTTGTTAAGTAGTTATTGTAAATATTAATTCTTTGTCTTTTTTCATTGTGTGTATTTAAATCAGTCCGCTTAATTTTTAGCGAATTATGTTAGTTTTAGTGCTACGAATTATCTTAATTTTAAAAGCAAGTTGATATATTTACCTATAAATTTGACTACCTTTGCCCCTTCTTTGAGTTCATAAGGGTTTTATCGAATATTTGAAGGGATTTAGATTTTGTCATTGGAAGTGAGCAATAGGCATGTTGGGTATCATCTAGCCCAAATTCTTGAGAAGCCCAAAAGCATTCTTCATGCTTCTAAAGAGTATGTTCGTGGATAGACTCAACAATTCTCTTGATTTTTCTAGAAGATGGTCAACTTACAATATTATAAGCAAATCTAGAGAATTCTGCCTGAAATATCATCAAAATCCCACCGACCTCAACAAGTATAAATAGTCAAGGTTTGGCTCATATTTAACCCATTCACAAAATTGGCCATTCCCAAATATATTGTCATACCACAAACTCTTGGTAAAAGTTAGCTAAATTGGGAATAGCGATTATATATAATATAGTATAATTCATCCGTTCTTAAAACTTAGTTGTGTTTTAATTTCAACTTTATTATATACTTATATATGTACACTAGTAACACTACTTTGACTATAATTTATGATTTCAAGACATAACAATAGTTCATTCGATTCGTGATATGTTTTCAAAACATTAAGCTTTTTATCCGTTAATGATAATAAAAAGATTTCCAGTTAAATAACAAGTTTTGTATTATAAAGGTAATAATTAACAAGTTTCAGAGAAAGATCTGATGCACCCAACTTAGCCTCACAAGTCACAAGCAGCCTTTATTTTGGCGCATAAAGAAACTAGCAAATATACCGATAAAGAAAAAAAAGTAATAAGCTTTATTACAATAATAATTGAAGATAAATCTATATTAATTTAAAAAATTACATACGATTTATTACAAAATTAATAAGATTGAACAATTTCAAACGATATTCTAAGATGGTATTATTTATATTATTTCTGTACAAATAATAATATTGAACGCTAATTAAATTTAACCTAGTCGACTAAATCATTATAAAAAATTTAACGCATTCGGAGGACTTGAACGACGGACACTTGATACATCAGTTCGAGTTCGACATTGTTACTACTTTATGGTTTAGTTGTTAGTATGCGTTGGAAAGTTTTTATGAGATCAAGACAGTATTCACTACTACAAAAGCCTTGTAATCTCGACACGGTATGGTCGACGCTACAGGAAATCGTCACTCTTAAATTATAGGTCGCGTCTCACCTCGACACTTTTTTAATTCGAAAACTATTTATTACAATTAAAAGTGTCGAGATATTGCAAGGCACTTTCACGTGATAAACTCGCTTTTGAAATTTTTGGGAAAAGTTAAATAAGGGTCCTCACTTATAGCTGCCAAAAGCCCAAAAAAAGGTATGATTTTTGTTTGTTAATTGTTATTCGAATGTTCTTTTTAAATACAATTGAGTATTGGATATCAATTTAAGGATTTTATCTATAAATAATATTACGAAATTAGTTTGTATAGATTGGTTTAATATATGATGAAGTAAGATATACAAAGTATTTCTCACACAATTCTTTAAATTCTTGTACTGTCAGGAATTGATTTTCCTTAGTTTTCATTAGAGTATAGCAAGCGTATATATATACAACCTAGCAAAGAGATTAGGGCTCATGAGATAGGCCTGATAACTATACACTATACACAATAATAGGCCCTAACACCCCCCTTCAAGTTGGAGCATGCAAATCACAAATGCCCAACTTGCCAAGTAAAAATAAAAATTGGTTTTTGCTCAATGCCTTAGTAAAAATGTACGCCAATTGATCCGTTGTCTTCACATACGACGGACTAATAATGCCTTCCTGAATTGCGTCCCGAACATAATGACAGTCAACTTCAATATGTTTCGTACGCTCATGAAAAACCGGATTCTGCGCAATGTATAATGCAAATTTATTATCACAAAATAGACTTATCGCCCGCGGAGAGAAACCCCCAAACTTTCTAGCATTGCCTTCAACCATTTTAACTTGTCAGTTGCTTTAGACATCGAACGATATTTAGACTTCGCAGAAGATTTAGCAACCGTATCTTGTTTCTTAGTCTTCCAAGAAACAGGAGAGTGACCAAGAAATACCAACCAACCATTAATAGAACGTCTAGTCAAAGGACAACTTGCCCAATCCGCATCACACCAACCTGTAATGTGTAAATCACAATAAGAGCTCAAAAGAATTCCCTGGCCCGGACATCCTTTCAAGTATCTCACCGTACGAAGGGCAGCCTCCCAATGATCCTGTCGCGGTTGTTGCATAAATTGAGAAAAGATATGCATCGCGTAAGCCAAATATGGTCTAGTCACTAGTGGAAAAAAGGCTATCCGTAACAGGCAAAAACTGTCCATCCGTAACGGGCAGCGTCCGTTATGGATGGCCTTTGTTATTTGTAACGGGCTTTTCAGGTGACCGTTACGAATAATCCCGTTATCCGTAACGGGACATGGTTTGCCCGTTACGAATATTGTATAATCAAATTAAAAAAAAAAATCCATCAAAATGCTGGATTTTGCACACCATTATCCGTAACTGGACATAGTTTGCCCGTTATGAATACTGTATAATCAAATTTTAAAAAAATCCATCAAAATGCTGGATTTTGCACACCATTTTAATTTTAGTTACAACATCAAAATTTCCTAATCTCATCCATATTAATATTAGTGTTTTTAAGCTATAACCAAAATTACTACCTACGCTATCAAAAAACACATAAGCTAACCAACACAAGAACAAATTAAAATGGCTAGGGACCTAGCTAGATTAAACTGAGTATCATCTTTAGACGGCAGAAACAGTCATATGCACTTGTGGTGCTGTTGGCTTCACCGGGTCCTTCACGGGCTTCCCCTCCTTCGGTGTAGACCCATAGTAGCAAGCGTACAAGATCAGTTGTGCTACGGCAAGTATGGCTCCAACCCCATTGCTAATCTGCGCGCAACAAAGAAACAAAGGATTAGGATTACAAATTACAAGCATTGTGACGCTTACATTGAGAATCCCCAGATGAAATGAGGTTATAATTGATTACCAGAATGTAAGGATCAAATCTGATGAAGGCCTATGCACTCCAAATAACTCCATTAGACAAACCAGCCAATGAAAGAGTCAATGGCATGAATTCAACACTCTTCGTTTTTATGACCTTGTACTGTTTGTGCCAAACAAACATTTTTTCATAATTTAGTACATGATATGCGTGTAACAACTTGTAATTAACAGCAATGTTACAATGCTAACATCGAAAAATACAAGTACAGATGCAAAATTCATACCATAACAGTGAGAGGTGCACCATAGAGAATGATCCCAAAGATGTCACAAAAGATCCCAACAAAGGTAAGACCCATATTTCTCCCCTTGAATTAGTCACTAACTTCTACATTCATTAAGAATCGATGCATCAATATTCCGGCACCAATATGTAATAAACAAACTAGGCTCATTTACAAAATGAGATGCATAATTTAACAAAACAATGTAAGTGAAACTATATCAGGCACTACAGATCACTCGAAATTCTAATCACGAGTTCGAAATTCAAAATCTAGCTGTAAGTTCCCGGATCCATATGATTCAGGCAACATAATGTCAGATTGCCATAACAAAAATGCTTGCAAGTACTAAAAATCAAAGAAAATAAGCTGATTTCACCATAAAATTACATAATTCAAGCATAATTAAGCTTCGGAGCTACGAACATTTGCGCATTACTTAAAGATCTCAGAAATCAGAAAGTTTTTCACCAATTTAAAGTCATAACTACCAAATTGCATCTCATTTCCAAGCTAAATTCAAATTCGCAAACAACAAAACTAAATAGCCATTTTCAAAATTCAAATAAATTTACAGACCATTGAAATAAACAATCCAAAATCACAAATCCTAAAATCAACACTAAGAATCAAACATCTAGACGAGAAATTCTCAAACCTTACCAATGATGAGAATGCATGATTTCACAAATTCACTAACAACATGTACTGAAAATCAGATCAAATGTTGAATCAATAATCACATTAAAAATCTATTAAATCACTCAAAAACGTAAATAATTCTCGAACAATAACCAATTACAAATCCTAAAAAATTCAATGCGAAGATCAAAATAACGAGCACATCAAATCGAAGAACGAAAAGAATGCAAAAGAGAAGGAAATCGAAACGAACTTGTGAACGAAAACAAAAATCCTACTAAGAAATTAAACTAAAGATGAAAATTCAGAAATCACTCAAATTAGAGAGCTAATAATAATTGAGGAGATTAAAATACAAAATGAAGATAGAATTGGAATAAAATAAAAAACTTTAGATCTAAAAAAGACAATAATCATTCCTGAATCTGCAAAAATTCAGCACAAAATATCCCAAAAATCCAGTACCCTGAAACTTAAATCAATTAAAAACAACATAAATTTCAAAAAATAAAGTTGAATCAAGTTAGACTGATAAGTCGTATATTGAGCGTGTTTTTAGAGTTCATTTAGGTAGTTTTCAAGCTTAGTTTAATTGTTCATAGCTTATTTTATCTTGTTTTGATTTGGTTGTGATCATGTTGTGCTTTTATGGGTAGTTTCATTATTTTTGATGTATTTCAGGATGAACGAGACTAATTTGGATGGTCACGACAGTTTGTTAAGATGGAAGAGTGATGATACCCGTGTCCGCCCTGGCAGGGCAACATTGCCCTGGCAGCCAGGGCGGAAGAAAGAGAAGAGACAAACGAAGATTACTACGAAGCATCTTCTTCTCATCGCCCTGGCAGGGCAACATTGCCCTGGCAGCCAGGGCGAAGAAGATTTGTATTGATTACAAGCTTCGAAGGTCAGCCGTGGAGTGTGTATTGCGCGCCTGACCGGGCAGCATTGCCCTGGCAGACCGGGCGGACAAAAGCGCTGCATATGAAGGAATTCTTAAAGGCGTAAGCTCCATTTTGCTTCGCGCGCCCGACCGGGAAGCCTTGCCCGGTCAGACCGGGCGGAGTGTTGATGACCGCATTTTCCTATTTTTTCGGGTTTTCTTAATTAAGGGATATAAATACCCTTTGTAAACCCCGACTTAACATACTTAGTTATTATTTTCTAGCTTTTAAACCTTCATTAGAGCCCTAATATTCCTCTCTAGATCTAGATTAATTTGCACTTTCAAGTTTTGATCTTTGTTCATCAACAATTGGTACTTTTCTTCATTCAAGCAATTGGTATTCATCTTTATTTCTTCTTTTACTTTTAATTACTTATTAATCATGTTTTATTCATTGATTATTGTTTTTGCTTTCATATATATGTGTGATTAGTTTTCTTATTCCAAGATCTAGCGGAACCCGAATATGATTAATGCATGATTTAATTCTTTAAATTCTCTAATAATAATTGTAGTTGATATGCTTAATTGATTTTGCTTATGCCAATACTAGATTAGGGATAATTGGTATTGTTATTAATCCTTTGTTTTAATTGCAACGGGAGTTGGGTTTTGACGGATTTGAATAAATCAATTAAGGGTTTGACGTTCATCACGGGAGTAGTTGAATGGATGATTAGGAAGTTAGAGTAATGTGCTCAAAGTCTTTAATTTACACGATTCCACGGAAGTAGGCTTGATTGTGATTAGAGAATCCATTGATAACTCGGGAGAGACCATTGGTATTATTCATGGATTACTTTTCCTCATTAATCAATTGAATTATGTGTTAGGGGTAGAATGACTATTGCATTAATTGTATTCGCGGTGATGCTTGATCTTGGATGTTTTTAGAATTGATTTGTGATATTGCTTTGATTTAATAGTTTTAATTAGTTCTTTAGTTATTGATTCTCACTTATTTTATTTGATTACTTACTTAGTAATTGCTTGAGTCTATTTAATTAGTTGAACCATAGTCTCTTGGGATCCGACCCTTGCTTGCCCGTCTACATAGTAGTGGTCCAGTTAGGTTTATTTTTGTTAGGTACGCGACACGCCTATCAAATTTTGGCGCCGTTTCCAGGGACTAACGGTTTCATTCTAGTTATTTGTGATTCGTTTTACTAAGCATATATTTTGTTGCTTCGGCTATTGTTCCTTGTGTCTTTGATCTCCCGTTTTAGTTTCTTTGTTGCATGCAAACTCGAAGTCCAGGTTTAGATGATTTAACACCTTTTGATTCTGAGATTGAAGTTATTGCGAGAAGACGAAGAGGTAGAAGAAGGAGAAATCAAAATATAAGAAACATGGTCGACCCAGGAACAAAATCTCTTTTGGAGTATGGTATTTCGGATACAACAACCGGATTCCTCTCTAGTATTCTTAGACCACCTGTCACCGCTCAGAGCTTTGAATTGAAGCCCCAGTTCATACAATTCATCTCTAGTGATTCTTTTGCGGGCTCACCGAACGATTGCCCTGTGACTCACATAGACAGTTTCTTGGAGAAATGTGACACTATGAAGCTCAATGGTGTCATTGATGATGCTATTAGACTACGCCTTTTCCCTTTTTCACTAAGGGATAGGGCAAGAGAGTGGCTACGAGATGAAGGTGAACAAAATCCATATATTATTTCAGTTCATAGTCTAGAGTCATTAAAGTGGACATTAATGATCTCTTTAAATGGACTAGCATGTAATATTGATTGGATAACGTTGTTTCTTGGGCTATAGGAGCATAGTGAAGCTCGGCCAATCACATGGATGTGCATGAATGATGCATGATCGAACTATGAACCTACTGATAAATGCTTTCCCTAATATTAGTCCAATGGCCGCTTTATATTGGTTCTTTAATGATTTTATTTACTTTAATTATTTTAGATTTTATTTTATTCATTATTTTATTTTATAGTTATTTTTATAATAATTGATACTTAATTTTATGTTGTGTGTTTTTGGTAGGAAGAAAAATATTCGCAAGCACTACGAGCCCAATAGCAAAGCAGACTAGCAAATATAAAAAAAAGGGGAAGAAGATAAAGGCACGTGAGTTAGCAACATTAAACAATAAGAAAGCAAAGATAAGAAAGCAGCAACAAATAAAGTAAAGAAAGGAGCGTGAAAACCAAAGATACCCCAAAATCTTATTAAGGTTCATCTTCAACAATATCATCCGAAATTCAAGCAAATAGAAGATGAATTTCCATCTTAAATTTTATCTTTCCAACCTAGAAAATCATGGGAGGCCGTTGTTTTTGGCTATAAAAACCCCAAAACAATCATCTCAGAGGACACACAACTTAGCCAATAATTATACAAAGAGTACGAGAGTTCGATTGAGTCCGTAATTGGGCAATTGGTGAAGAGAAGATAGCCATTGGAGGGCAGCTTAGTCTCGAATCCAAGGTAGAACAAGAACGAAGGTGAATCGCGGGGTCGAAGCCGGGTTTATTCGGGTGTTCTTCAGAGTATATTTTATAAGTCTTCTTCTGAACTTATTTGTTCAATACTACTGATTTATTTGATGTTCTTTGCTAAATTGATGAAGTACTTTTATTGGATTATTGATATTATAATTGATTCTTGATAGTATTATTTTTTCGATTTAATGGGTATTTGAAATTTGCTCGTTCTTGATTATTAAATTTGCAATTTGACATTGATTGTTATCTATCATGTTATTAGTTGTGAATTATTGCTATCTATATGATTTGGCTTAGTTTGAATTATATAGTGAAGTAGTATCTAATTTTTATCAAGTCTGTGATTATGGTTTGGTTTAAATCAGAGGGCATTTTCAATCTAATTATTCCAAGCATTTATGTGATTAGTTTAATTAGGACTAATGAGGTCTCCTAGTTGTTAATGCTTCCGTATCTAACTCATGCAAGTTGCGAAATATTTGTGTTAATTAGATCGGTTTAGAGTCAATTTCGGCTTAGTCCAAATTTGGTTTCAAGTAAGAGAGATAGGGAGTCTTTGTTACTATAGTCTCTACGATTAGTCTAATCGTTAAATTGAGTATTTTGCAGAGTCGGTCAATTGTTGTTATCAATAGTTTAGTATGAGTAGTGCCGAAGTGGAATTGGTTAGTTGTGTCGTCAATAGTAGTTTATTAGTTTAGTTCCGTATTAGTTTTATTAGTTTAGTATTATCTAAACCAAACCCCCCCATTCTATGTACATATGTGAATAAATGTATAGTATGTAAGTTTCCGTAATATATCTAGTTAAACCTTGATTAAAGAGTTAAAAGTCTCCTCGTGGGATCGACCCTTGCTTACCCTTTTACTAGTTGTTAATATTTTTGAAGGTTAAGTTAGGAAAAAAATATTTAATTTTATACGGTAAACGACACGTATCAAATTTTGGCGCCGTTGCCGGGGAGATAAATTTTAACTCTTAAAATCAAGATTTAATCTGTATTTCTAATTATATATCTGTGTGATAAGTTGTTACTTATATACGGAGAACGAATTAGCTAATTATAGCCTTCATGCTTACCGTTAGAGGTGTTAGTTACTCTGTTCCACTCATATAAAATCTTTTATACATGATCAATTTTTAGAAGTAATGTCTGCTTTTCATATACTTTCGTTTAACATCATGTTCATGCCTTCAAGTGTGTCAATTTTCTTCATTAGTTGTTAATTTCTTTTAAAGCCAAAATAAACATACATTAGGTGAGGTTGGGTACACTTTCGTTTAATTCTTAATTTAGCCCAACCTATTTGGAAACGGTATGTAGAGGAGTAGTAATTAGTGCATTGCTTGTTTCTTGGCCAAATTTTTGCAAGTAATGATTATTGATTAACTCTCTTAATATTTTGGTGCATGGGTGCAGGATAAGTATATTTCAAGTTGCATAATACTTTTATTTTTGCACACATATGTTTGTTCTCCTTATGATAATTGAACTATGGTATTAATCTGATCACAACTAATGATAATAGGTAACACACTCGTATTATGGTAGTGGGAATTAAAACAGTTACTAGGAGTTGTCATTAGATATTATCTTACATTGAGTTTCTGTTCAGGAATTAAGTAACTAATAAGCCACTATTGTCCTACACTAGGCTCTTACATATAACTTAAGAGTGGTATGTACTGAACACTTCACTAGTTAAGTCATCCTTGCCATTAATAAAGTATTAGTGGAATATACTGAACATTTTACTTTCTAATGATCTTTATAAGATTTGGTAGGAATATATTAGCTCAAAGTCACTCTCGAATTAAGTTGACTTATATTGATTTGCTATTAACGTGCTTGCATATATATGATTTCGTGCCTAACTGTGGGTTAGTCAGATAATGAACACTAATTTTAGTAGCATTGCTGAATAGATTTGTCACTATTTTATTGCTATTAAAGGTCAAGAGATAAATAGTTAAGTTGAGTTATAAAAACTCTGAAATGAACTGATTGACAGTAGTTAAAACTGTTGGTAGAGTATATTTTATATGCAAAATAGTATTAAGGACAAATTTGTTCTGTTAGGATTATTTTGCTTCAAGTGCATCTGAATTAACTCAAATTATATGTTTGTGATTCATGTTTAGTTCATGTTCTGCTTAGACTGCTCAAAATGATTCTTGTTCCAATTACATTTCTTTGCAAGTTTTAATCTCTTATGAGAATTCTGATAAAAAAAAAATTAAAATAAAAAAAAAAAAAAAACTGTAAAAGAAGCTGAATTATGTATGCTATAAAGTGTTTTAGTAGTAAAATTTAACGAGTTAGTGTCCAAATATAAGCTGCTCTTGTGCTATTATAATCTCAAAATCAGAAGTAAAAGTAGTTTATAACCAATCTGGCTGAATAAGATTGACAATTAGTTAGCTTTATATGTTGAATTTGACAATGCATGAGTATTAGTATGCCTACTCCTACATTCAGGAAGACCAGTGTGTACTAGTTTCATATCTTTTTGAGTAAAAACTGAGCAGAATATATATATGACAACTGATTTAATGGGATTGCATAATGTCTTGGTCTGCCAAGCTAGGTTCGGATAATTCTTTAGCTTGCCTGATGTTGATTTGCTACTGGAAATTTAGCTATAAATTAAAGCTATAAATCCTGCCTAGTTATAAGCTGCTAAGTTCTGACCAGAAGGTGATTATTGAACTCTACATTTCTACACTAAAATTTCAAGCTCATCTTTCCATTAATTTCTGTTTTTCTTTATAGGTGTATGTACGCGTACGATAAAGAAGCTAGACTTCAGCGCATTAAAGCATACGTAGGCTTCCTAAACGAGGCTGAACTAGAGAAGCTGCTTCACATTTTCAGTGCTGAACCGGAACTTGAAATAGAAGATCCATTACCGATTGAATACAAGAACATGGCAGAACGAACACTGAAGGAATTGGGAGCACCGAGAACAAGAGAAGACCCTCTGTGCATTGTCTTTCCAGAGCTAGAGAATCCTCTAAAGCTGAATTCAGGTTTCCTTAATCTTCTCCCTAAATTCTATGGGAACGCAGGTGAGAATCCTTATAGACACTTAAAAGAATTTAAGGTTGTATGTTCTTCCATGAATCCAGAAGGCGTAGAACAAGAACATATTAGATTGCATGCTTTTCCTTTTTCTTTGCAAGATCCTGCCAAAGAGTGGCTATATGAGCAACTTTCACCTAGTTCTATTAATTCTTGGGCAGAAATGGAAAAAGTTTTTCTTGAAAGATTCTTTCCTGCGAGTCGTATTGGTTCTATTAGGAAGGAAATTTGTGGAATTAGACAAAATAATAACGAATCTTTATATGAGTATTGGCAACGTTTTAACAGACTTTGTTCATCTTGTCCCCAACACCAAATAAGTGAGCAATTGTTAATTCAATATTTTTATGAGGGGTTGTTACCTAATGAGAGAGGTATGATAGATGCATCAAGTGGGGGGGGGGCATTAGTAGATAAAACTCCAACGGAAGCTAGAAAGTTAATTTCTAATATGGCTCAAAATACTCAACAATTTGGCAGTAGAAATGATGTTAAAAGAGTTAATGATGTGGACTTAAGTGGAATTAAAAATCAATTACAAGAAAATGCTCAACAAATTGCTGCTTTAACCACCTTAGTGTCTAAAATTGTTCCTGGTAATGAGTCTACAACTAGAGTATGTGGTGTTTGTTCTGGTTTTTCTCATGCTACTGATGAATGTCCTACTTTACAAAGTGAAGATGTTAATGCCTTAGGAGGTTTTCCTGGTCAATCTCAAAGGAAATATGACCCTTTTTCTAATACTTATAATGAAGGTTGGAAAGATCACCCTAACCTTAGGTATGGACCTAGACCACCATTTTCTCATTCTAATCAAACTAGGCCATTTGTTCAACAAAATTCACAACAACAATCTGGTTCATCATTAGAGGATTTAGTGAAACAATTGACTACCCAAATTGGACAAGTTCATAGTCAAGGTGTTCAATATCAAAAGAAAACTGACACTCACCTACATCACATAGATACTCAAATAGGTCAAATTAGCACTTCCCTTAGTAATTTGGAATCTCAGCTTTCGAATAGGCTCCCTTCTCAAACACTTGCCAATCCAAATGAACATGCTAAAGCTGTAACACTTAGAAGCGGTAAAGAGTTAAAGGAACCTAAAATAAAGAATAGAGAAATAGAGAAAGAGGTAGAAGTCAGACCTAAGGATGATGTAGCTAGTCAGAGTAAGGAAAAACATGATACAGAAAGTGAGAAAGAACTGGAAAAGAAGGGTAATTTTGATGTGAGTTATGATGTTTCTCGTTTTAAAGATATTCCCCCTTTTCCTTCTCGATTTGCTAAAGCTAAGAAGGAGGCCCTTGACAATGAAATACTTGAAACATTTAGGAAGGTTGAAGTGAATATCCCTCTTCTTGATGCTATTAAACAGATACCTAAGTATGCTAAGTTTCTAAAAGAACTTTGTACTAACAAAAGGAACTTCAAGCCTCGTGAAAAGGTAAGAATGGGTGAGAACGTATCTGCTGTAATTCAAAAGAAACTTCCTCCAAAATGCAAAGATCCTGGCATGTTTTCTATCCCATGTAAAATTGGTAACACTAAATTTGAAAGATGCATGTTAGACTTAGGTGCTTCAATTAATGTCATGCCTAAATCTGTATATGATACTTTGAATGTGGGTCCTTTGTCTAAAACTAATGTTGTTATCCAATTAGCTGATAGATCTAATGCATTTCCTATGGGAGTTTTGGAAGATGTACTTGTTCAAGTGAATGAACTAGTTTTTCCCGCTGATTTTTATGTGCTTGATATGGGTAATAGATCTGATAGTGTTCCTTTATTGTTGGGTCGTCCTTTTCTAAAGACTTCCAAAACTAAAATTGATGTTCATGAAGGTAATTTGACAATGGAATTTGATGGCGAAATGATTAAATTCAACATATTTGATGCTATGAAATACCCTAATGATATCAGTAATGTTAGTTCTATAGATTCATTTGATGCATGTGACTGGATGGCTCAGTATGTCTTTGATGAGTGGTGTAAAAATCTATTTGAAAATGGTGTGTTTGGTGATTTTAAGGAAACAAAAATGGTTGATTCTTTTGTAGTTTCATCTGATGTGATTGAACCTGATGCTTGTGATGGATGTGAAAAATCTTTACCTTCTATTGTGCCTAAATTGATCCCTTCTACTGTTAAGCCACATGAATTAGAATTGAAGCCCCTTCCTTCTAATTTGAAGTATGCTTATTTGGGTGATAATGAGACTCTACCTGTGATCATTTCAAGTTCTTTAAATGAATCTCAAGAGACTAAGTTATTGAATTTGCTTAAAAATCACAAGGAAGCCTTAGGATGGACTTTAGCTGACATAAAAGGCATTAGTCCCGCCATGTGCATGCATAAAATTTTTCTTGAAAAAGATGCTAAACCAACTAGAGAGGCTCAACGTAGATTAAATCCTTCAATGATGGAAGTAGTTAAAAAGGAAATTCTAAAATGTTTAGATGCAGGATTGATATATCCTATTTCCGATTCTCAATGGGTAAGTCCTATACATGTGGTACCTAAAAAGAGTGGAATAACAGTTGTCGAAAATAATAAAGGAGAATTTGTCCCCACTAGAGTTTTTAATGGATGGAGAGTTTGTATTGACTATAGGAAGCTTAATCAAGCTACTAGAAAAGACCATTTTCCTCTGCCATTTATTGATCAGATGTTAGAAAAACTTGCTGGACAATCTTTCTTCTGTTTTCTGGATGGTTATTCAGGTTACATACAAGTACCCATTGCCCCTGAAGATCAAGATAAAACCACTTTTACCTGTCCTTTTGGTACATTTGCTTTTAGAAGAATGCCTTTTGGTTTATGTAATGCTCCAGGAACTTTTCAGAGATGTATGATGAGCATATTTTCTGATTTAATCGAACATGATATGGAAGTTTTTATGGATGACTTTACTGTTTTTGGTGATTCATTTGATAGATGTCTTCATGCTTTAACTCGTGTTCTGAAGAGATGTGTTGAAACTAATCTTGTTTTGAATTTTGAAAAGTGTCATTTCATGGTTGAACGAGGCGTGGTTCTTGGTCATATTGTAAGCGCTAACGGTTTAGAGGTAGACAAAGCTAAAATTGAGGTGATAAGTTCTCTGCCTTATCCTAAATGTGTTCGCGAAGTTAGATCATTTTTAGGACATGCTGGTTTTTATAGGCGTTTTATAAAGAATTTTTCATAAATTGCTTCACCTTTATGTGATTTGCTTGCTAAAGATGCTGTTTTTGACTTCAATGATGAATGTAAGAAAGCTTTTGATGATTTAAAAGCCAAGCTGACAAGTGCTCCTGTTATTAGACCCCCTGATTGGTCGTTACCTTTTGAAATAATGTGCGATGCTAGTGATAAAACCATAGGAGCTGTTTTAGGCCAAAAGAAGGGTAAAGAGTCTTATGTGATACATTATGCTTCTAAATCACTTGACCCCGCCCAATGCAATTACACTGTGACTGAAAAAGAAATGTATGCTGTGATATTTGCTTTGGAAAAGTTTAGAACTTATTTACTTGGTACTCATGTGATTGTTTATTCTGATCATGCGGCTCTAAAATACTTGATAAAGAAGAGTCATTCAACACCTAAGTTACTTAGGTGGATGCTTCAATTACAAGAGTTTGATCTAGAAATTAGGGATAAAAATGGTGTTGAAAATCAAGTTGCTGACCATTTGAGTAGGATTGTCCCTAGAGAAGATTGGCCTATGATAAGTGATTTTTTCCCCGATGAACAATTGCTTTCTTTATATCATGTTGAAACTCCTTGGTATGCCGATATGGTTAATTACTTAGTAACTAGGACGTTTCCCCCTTTTCTAACTAAGGCCCAAAGAGAAAAGATAAAGTCGGAATCTAAATACTACATATGGGATGATCCTTATTTGTGGAAATCTTGCTCTAACCAAGTAATTAGACGGTGTGTAGATAAACCTGAACATGATTCTATACTAACATTTTTCCATAGTCTTGAAAGTGGAGGACACTTTGGTTCTCAAAGGACTGCTCATAAAGTCTTAGAATGTGGTTTGTATTGGCCTACTATTTACAAGGATGCTTATTTATTTTGTAAGGCTTGTGAACGCTGCCAGAAATCTGGAAATCTGTCTAAAAGAAATGAAATGCCCCAATCTGGAATTTTAATTTGTGAAATATTTGATGTGTGGGGCATTGATTTTATGGGTCCCTTTCCCGTTTCTTTTGGTAATGTTTATATCATTCTTGCTGTTGATTATGTGTCTAAATGGGTAGAGGGGAAAGCTGTAATAACCGATGATGCTAAAACGGTTGTTAAGTTTGTTAAGAGTCATATATTTAATAGATTTGGCATGCCTAAGGCCATCATTAGTGACAGAGGAACCCACTTTTGCAATAAAACATTTGGTGCCCTTCTGGAAAAATACCATGTGACTCACAGAGTAGCCACTGCATACCACCCCCAAACAAGTGGACAGGTTGAATTGTCGAATAAGGAGATAAAGGGTATTTTGGAAAAAATGGTTAACCCAAGTAGAAAGGATTGGAGCCTTCGTTTAGGTGATGCCTTATGGGCATATAGAACTGCATATAAAACTCCTTTAGGAATGTCTCCATTTAGACTTGTATTTGGAAAAGCGTGTCACTTACCTGTGGAAATTGAGCATAAGTCTTATTGGGCAGTGAAGCAATGTAATTTAGACTATGATCTTGCTGGGAAAGAAAGGAAATTACAGTTACTTGAGTTGGAAGAATTGAGGTTAGAGGCATATGAAAATGCCAAAATCTATAAAGACAAGACCAAAGCCTACCATGATAAAAATATAGATAGAAAATCATTTCAGGTTGGCCAGAAAGTCCTTTTATTTAATGCTCGATTGAAATTATTTCCAGGAAAATTACAAACTAGATGGCTTGGCCCCTTTGTTGTTACTAATGTTTTTCCTTATGGTGCAATAGAAATCAAAGATTTCAATACTAACAAAATTTTCAAGGTTAATGGCCACAGGTTAAAACCATTCTATGATCAAGCTTATGTGACCATGATTGAAGACATTTTATTTGAACAAGCATGAAAAGAGAAATGTCGAGCCAACGACGTAAACCAAAGGCGCTGATTGGGAGGCAACCCAAGATTAATTATTTCTTTCCTTACAGTTTTATTTATTTATTTATTTTACTCATTTTATTTTATTTTTCAACATTCACTCCCTACATATTTACGCTAAATTGTGCTTATAACTGATTTGCAATTGCTGCACTAATTCACTCCTGTCTCACAGAATATTTTAGTTACAATAGTATATATTTTAACAACTGAAATTCACTATACATTGAGTTTTGCTAGTCGGTTTGCAAGAGCTTAGCTAGTTTAGTTGTGGCTTAGAATATCTCATTTGGTGTCAATGTTCTGTCCAGAATTGCAACCTTTCTTATCATCACAGTCTTATTATAAAGTGCACTGACATTCTGCCTTAATTATGCCTTTCCAGGAATTTGCTTCTTCTTGTGCTGTGTACCAGATTCACAAAATGGTAGATTCCTGCTGCAACTTTGGACATATTCATAAATCTTCGATACTTTAAAATCTGTTGCTCAATGAATAGAGCAGAAGCACAACAATAAAGAAAATAAAGGCAGACCAACCTGAGTCATCAAAACAGAGAACAGAACCAGCTAAGTTTCTTCTCCTTTTTCTTCATTTCTTTTTCATCGAGGACAATGAAAAGTTTAAGTGGGGGGCCACTGTTGTTTTCTATATTTTGGATGTTGGGATGTTAGTTTGGGTTACAATTTTAGCAACAAAAAGTTGTTTGACTATGACCATTTTTAGGGGAGATGCTGCCGATTTTTTTTAGATATTGGAAATTTTGAGCTAATAGCAGTAAAATACAAAAAAAAAAAAGTGTTTTTATTCTCCGGTATTCTTGATAACCTATCCTTTAAGCTTTTGTCATTTCCCTATGAAACTGCAACTAATTCATGTTTTGAAAATGATTTAGGCATTTAAAACAGTTTCTACGCCACATCAACCAAAAATCCTATCCCTGTTATTTTCCATGAATAAATCACAAATGTACCTCTACTTACACATCAAATGGTTAACCTTTTTGAAATTAGTAGAGCATATTAAAGTGTGATGTAAAAATGGTTGTTGAGATTCAGTGGTGATACATACAGTACTATAAAGTGAAAGTTTCAATATAAGGCTCTGCGTACCAATGATTGGGTATATGTGTTAATCAATTCACATATAGTGAATTATAAAAAAAAAAAAAAAGTAGAAAAAAAAGAAAAAGGGGGCAGTGTACATAAAAGTTCAATGTGCACTCAAGAAATATTTGTTATGAGGAATATTTGATTTGGTTGTAATCATACTATGCTCTACTAATTTATAGAATATTACCACCACAATCCCATAATTATTGTCATATCCTTCATTTACCTAAACCCCCATGATAACCTTAAAATTAAAAGTCCTAATGATTTGAGACATGTAAATTGGTATAAGCAAGGAGGGTGAAAAATGATAAAAGTTAACCAACCAAGTTGTCAAGTTATATTGGAGAAAGTTTTATGAATTGTGTTTTAAAATTGTTTATTGCTATTTAGTTGAAAATTTCTGAATAACAGACTTTGTGGGTATGTCTACTACAAACCCTCACGAGACCGTACTCGTCCTCTAGGGGGAACTTAGGGGTTTAAAGGGCTTGTTGCACGTGCTAAGTGAAACCGTGATTCCTACGACAGTGAGTTAGGTTTATTGCTTTTATTGGTTAGTTTTATTTAGTTTGTTCGAGGGCGACCAAAGACTAAGTGTGGGGGAATTTGATAAATGCATAATATACTATAATTTAAGTCCCTAATATTAGTCCAATGGCCGCTTTATATTGGTTATTTTATGATTTTATTTACTTTTATTATTTCAGATTTTATTTTATTCATTATTTTATTTTATAGTTATTTTTATAATAATTGATACTTAATTTTATGTTGTGTGTTTTTGGTAGGAAGAAAAATATTCGCAAGCACTACGAGCCCAATAGCAAAGCAGACTAGCAAATATAAAAAAAGGGGAAAAAGAAAAAGGCATGTGAGTTAGCAACATTAAACAATAAGAAAGCAAAGATAAGAAAGCAGCAACAAATAAAGTAAAGAAAGGAGCGTGAAAACCAAAGATACCCCAAAATCTTATTAAGGTTCATCTTCAACAATATCATCCGAAATTCAAGCAAATAGAAGATGAATTTCCATCTTAAATTTTATCTTTCCAACCTAGAAAATCATGGGAGGCCGTTGTTTTTGGCTATAAAAACCCCAAAACAATCATCTCAGAGGACACACAACTTAGCCAATAATTATACAAAGAGTACGAGAGTTCGAGTGAGTCCGTAATTGGGCAATTGGTGAAGAGAAGATAGCCATTGGAGGGCAGCTTAGTCTCGAATCCAAGGTAGAACAAGAACGAAGGTGAATCGCGGGGTCGAAGCCGGGTTTATTCGGGTGTTCTTCAGAGTATATTTTATAAGTCTTCTTCTGAACTTATTTGTTCAATACTACTGATTTATTTGATGTTCTTTGCTAAATTGATGAAGTACTTTTATTGGATTATTGATATTATAATTGATTCTTGATAGTATTATTTTTTCGATTTAATGGGTATTTGAAATTTGCTCGTTCTTGATTATTAAATTTGCAATTTGACATTGATTGTTATCTATCATGTTATTAGTTGTGAATTATTGCTATCTATATGATTTGGCTTAGTTTGAATTATATAGTGAAGTAGTATCTAATTTTTATCAAGTCTGTGATTATGGTTTGGTTTAAATCAGAGGGCATTTTCAATCTAATTATTCTAAGCATTTATGTGATTAGTTTAATTAGGACTAATGAGGTCTCCTAGTTGTTAATGCTTCCGTATCTAACTCATGCAAGTTGCGAAATATTTGTGTTAATTAGATCGGTTTAGAGTCAATTTCGGCTTAGTCCAAATTTGGTTTCAAGTAAGAGAGATAGGGAGTCTTTGTTACTATAGTCTCTACGATTAGTCTAATCGTTAAATTGAGTATTTTGCAGAGTCGGTCAATTGTTGTTATCAATAGTTTAGTATGAGTAGTGCCGAAGTGGAATTGGTTAGTTGTGTCGTCAATAGTAGTTTATTAGTTTAGTTCCGTATTAGTTTTATTAGTTTAGTATTATCTAAAACAAACCCCCCCATTCTATGTA